TGACTCCCCCTCCCCGACCAACTCGACACGTTCCAATCCACCTCTCGATTCCCCACCCATTTTAGCGCATGCACCGTCTGAAGTCTGCTGCCATACATTAAAATTAATAATAAACGATTGCTGTGTAATAACAATAATTTTACCAAAAATTTAGTGCCCGCTCGAAGTTTGACTGCGCTTTACTTCAGTTGCTTCAATGTTTAATTTTGTGATGCTCTCTCTCCCTCTCTCTTCAGTGAAGAGATGAAGCTGCCGCTGGATTTGGGAGCTGGCATTGGGCGTGGGTGCAAATGGCAAACAGTCGAACACGCAATGGGGCAAAACGGCAGGTAAAACCGCCTCGGAGTTTATGACGTGGGCGTTTCAATTAAATTGGTGACCGGAGGACGACGGGAGGAGTTGGGAGTTCGCAGCAGAGAGGAAAGCATTTTGCAGAGAAGAAACAGCAGGAAGCTCTGACAAGCTTAGACATTCGCTGAGGGAAGAAGGAAAGGAAATTGATGGAGAAGTTTGCTTTGAATTCAATTGTCAGTTTGCATTTTTGGCTTAAGCAAACCAAATTGATTTAGACTCAAGCTGAAAAACTCGTGACAGACAAAAATGTCTGTAATAAAGAGGGAAATAAATACCATAATATTAAAATAATATGTATAAGCTAAAGTGACTATCTCATTCAGTTTTCAAAACACTACAACTAATGTTCATCGCAATATCTAAATATAATCTCAGATCATTGTAAACGCTTGTCTTTATCTATGTTATGTAACCTGAAAGTAATTTGATATTCTTTCAAAGAAAGATATCCCATTAAAAAACAAGAAAACTTGATATATATTAACAAGATACATTTTATTGCAACTTAAATCGATATCAATTTTTCCTCGGTTGCCTTAATATTAAAATTAATTTTCCACACCAAATCTAAATTGCTGATCAACCTATCTTTCCCGGCCGCAACAAACAAGATCTTTACAGCGGGTGCCCGTGACAACCTCAATATCCAGACCAATACACGAAACTATCTGATAATTACGCCGCCTGTAAGCTCTATTCCATAAAAATCATCAAACTGCGTTACACATTCGCCGCGGAGCTTCATTAAAAAACAATCAACAGAGATCAAACGATGAGACAGAAATATTAAATAGAAAATTAAAAAACAAATGCGAGCGAACAAATCAAAGAGACAAAAGGCCGCTTGGCAAAGTTTTCAATGTAAAGTCCTACTAAACACACATGACTGTCACTTTATGAAACAGTAAAAAATATACAAATTTTATGACAAACCAACGACAAAACTGATTGGGAAAACAAGTTGATCGGCGGCTGCTGCTGAATAACTTAGTCAAATTAGACGCCATTTAAGCAGCACAAGTTTTGAACCTGCTTTTGGCCATGAAACAACATGTGACAACAATGTAGACCGAGACTCCATTGTGGAAACACCCAACACCTGATTCGTTGTCAATGGCTAAAGGGCGGGCTGGCCAGTGGCTTCGATCCATATCATTTGTATCTTTGTAGCTACGCGATGGCGGCAAGTGTGGAGCTTTGGAGATTCTGAAGTCTCGATTTTGAGACAACTAATTAAAAATGAGAGTCCACACAACGATAGTAGTTTTCGGCGTTTGACATGTTTATAGCTACTTTTTATGAGCCTCAAAATGCGTCGACTTAGCAACGACTTGTCGCGACTTTGTTGTCGGATAAAAGCGTCTTTTAAAATGATTTTGTCAAATGTTTAAATGTGAGCAGGACGCTTGAATCGCGTCTCAAGCGAGCGTTCATTAAATGCCAACTTAACGCAAATATTGACCCTCGAAAAAATGAGAGAACAAAAAATGAAAATATAAATAAAAATATAAATAAACTCTTAGAATTTATGGCACTTAGAGCCGAAGCGACGTAGCCGACTCTTATTTATTTTATGAGCCCTCAAAAAACACACACACAATTTGCATGCTGGCATTTTGTTGAGACGTCTCTGAAAGAAACACGAAATTGTCATTAGGCGCCCCGAAAATGAATTCAGTCGGCACGCAAAATGTTGATATGATTATTTGATGATATTTCGTATGCAAACGCCATTGACCATTCGTATTGCTGTTTTAAATTCGTTGAACAGGTTTAACAATATCTCGCTTGAACGCGTTTAGAATTTGTACAATGATCAGCTCAACTCCGGCTAATTTGTGTAAAATCTAAATTTACAAGGCCTGCACACAAAATGGCCGCTTGCTGTTTTTCGCTCTCTTTATGACTCCCTCACATGCCAATTGTGGATCCCAAATGGGGGCAATGCACACGCAATGCGAGTAAAGTAAATTGAACTGAGCTAAAGTGAACTGAGCCGAAGTAGTCTAGAGTTCAGCATGGTGGGTGCAGCCGGCTTTTAATGAGTTGGCAAATGTGGATGCTGCCGGACACTATAACGCAATCAATGGTAACACTACACCTGACTCACATTTAACCCATTGTAAGTCGCAAGTCGTTTCACAATTACTTTACTGAAAATATAAACATAATTCTTAGTTATATATCTTTGAAATTATAATTATTATTTATATGCATCTGCCTAAAATTATACTTTTTTGTGTTATTACATTATTTGCCAGACAAATTAAATTAAATTCCTTTCTACGCAACTTATCTCTTTCAAAATTGCCACAGCAAAAATCTTTCCTGCAAGCGACTCAAAGTGTTGATCATCAATGGGTTAAGGATGTGCACTTGGCAGAGCGGTGCAAGTACAGAACTGGGTCTCAGTTACAGACATGCAAAGTTGTCTGCGAGCCTCTTGTACCTGTGGCTCGTGGCCAATGGTCAGTTAGTTAGGTGGTTGGGTGTCTGGTGGCTGCTGTAGCAGCTTCTTCTCGTTTTTTGCCTGATAAAGTTATTGTCGCACCGTGGAGACATTTAATAAATGGTGCAGGCATTAGACCGACGACCGGCCGAATGTTGCATGTTGCATGCGGCTGCAGCGACAGCGAGCGGGAGCTGAAGCGATATGATACGAGTGCGAGTCCATGTTGCTGGCATAATGAGTGAGTAGCAGCCGTTGCAATGAGACGCTACGGACAGTTGTCAACATAATTTAGGCGCATGCAAAATGCTTGGAGAGATTGTGGCGCGCACCATGTGTAAATGTGGCATGTGGATTTGTGGATAGAGAGGTGGGCTGTGGTTGCAACTCTCTGCTTGTATGTAGATCTGAGTAACATAAGTGCGAAGCACACTTTATTGTCACACAAATGCCATATTTTCTCATTACGATCGGACATGATGCATGTGGAATGCCGGCAGCCAAACACGCAACACGGTGCAGCATGAGGCAAATATCGAAATAATTAAATCCGTCAAGTGTTGGCAACCTGTCACACACCAGCCTCGCACCAGTGTTCTAGGCGAAAAAAAAAACAATAAACAAAATGAGAGGAAAAAAAAAACAGAGTAAAGAGAATTTGAGTATCGCACGTTTGTAACTGGCCTGATCTTGTTTATGGGGCCATGTTGCACATAAAGCAGGCGAGAGATGCGAGTTGCAAGTAGAATGCTGAATGCAAAATACTCGTACCGATACCGAGGACACTCAACACGTTTCTGCCACAGTTCGCATTCGGTGTATGAGAAGTTTATTTGGCACCTGAAGATGATAATCGGTTACAAATTAATTGCAACTATGTTGACATTGTCTGGCAAAGAGAAGAGAAGTCTGAAAAGAGAACCGCATGTGTTGAGAACTGAGGCTCTGTGCTGTGCCTGGGCAACTCAATTTATATAGACAGTTGCCAACTGTAAATAAATAAAATTGTCAACGAACTGCACTTGAGTCTCTCCTCACTCGCAGAGAGGCTGCTCCTCCTCGGTTGCCTCAGTTGTGGGGGCTAAGTGAAAAGCTGAAGCCGCAGATTGCTTAACGCTGATTGCGTTGCTCTTAAATTGTGCTGCCAACTTTTGAAAAATCTGCAAATTTACACAGAAATCTTTTTTTTGGCACCGAGACTCGAATCGGCATCGGGGTGCCCTGTGGCCAAGCCAGGAAGAAGGAGTCTGAACACCGTCCAGTCCGCATTACGTTTCGCTTGACAGCTTTGGCGGGGGCAACACACTAAGAATTCTGGAGCAAGTGGACGATGTAGAAGATGCTGGCGTTGTGGCATGCGTAAATTGGATTAATGCATTGGATTCGCAAAGATTTAGAGAGACGCCACAAGGTTCGAAGTTCCAAGTCTCAGCCTCTGTCTCTATCTGGAGTCTGAATGTTGACAATAGTCTGGAGGTGCGGTCGCATTGTTCCAATTTGGCACTCATATAGATTGTCTTCATGTTGTTGCCGGGCATTATGCCATGTTGTTGCAACTTGTTGTTGCCGGTCGCGGCACAGGTGATATATCAGACAAGTGACGACGGGCGGTACACGCACCCCCCTTCAACACGCCGCTTCCTTCCTTCCATCCTTCCTCACTCGAACACTCGCTGCTGCTGCTGCCGATGACGAGCGGCGATAATGCACCTCTGACTGAGAGACTGAGAGAGCCCAAGGAATGTTGATGGCTCGGACAGCACAACTGGAGGCTTGTGGGTGTAGATTGCTGCTTGTAGGTGTCTTGTCTGGGCGTTTGTTATTTCTCTTGTTGTCTCTGTTGTCTTGATGGAGCAATGAGACGAGCGACAGAGGTCAAGGATGTGCGCAAAAATGTTGCTGCCTCACTCAAGTGATGACCATTGAGAAAGTTGAGGATCGCCGGGATTGGCATTTGTTGGGAGGGGTGGCGAGATAAACTTTGCTATAAGAGGTTGTCGGTAATAAAAGTGCACACAATATTTTATAGTTTTCTTTTAAGAAATTTTTTAAATAGGCTGAGATCTTATTACATCTTTATTTGTTTGGATCAAACCTTTTATTGAATATATATATTCTATAATAGAATCGACTACTAAACTCCAAAGACAATTTATGTATGCATAATACAAATTTCTTATTTTCTTGAATTTCTTCTTCATTAATTTATTTTTTAAATTCATTAAATTCTTTTTTTCCCTCCACTTTTTGCAACCATTTCTCTCGTTAACAACTGGTTTTTGTAATGAAGCCCAGCCTCGTCCGCCTCCTGTGCATCTTCTTCCAGATGTTCCTCTGGATTTTATAAATTAAATTATATTCACCAGCTAAGTATTCATACCTTCGAATTATAGCCAATTAAAGGCGATTGCTCCATGCATTTTGTCATAATACCAAAAAAAAAACATTTCTCTTTATAAATTAATTAAAGGATCTGCCCATTCACCGCTAACCTACTTTTTCAACTCCATAGCTTCCCTACTCATTCGGTTAAGAAATTCATTAACCACCTGCTCATTAAGCAGAAATTCGCGTCATATTTGCCACAATTTCCGCTCTGTGGCCAAATATACGGTGTGCTAAATCCCTGCGGAGAACAACAATATGACGAATGCTATGAGTAGTAGTGATGCACAAAGGGAGGAGGACGAGATGAAATCCCCATCATATTTTACACAGTTATGTGCGCCTTATCAGCACATCATTTAAGCGAGTTACTCGACACTTCTCCCAACGACTGACAATCGACGACCGACCGAGCACCATTCACTGTCCCACTGTCCACTTGTAAGCACTTGGCCTCTTCCTGCTCATTAAATTTGAAAATATAGCCGCCGTTGTCATATAAATCTTGTTTCCATCAATATTGACCTGTCAATGTCGCCAATGTCGTCGTCGTCGTCGTCGTTGTTGCCACCGTTCCAAGCCCTTTTGGCCAGCGCGTATCAAAAATTCAATATAATCACACCATACGCATCTCTCAAGCCGTCGCCCGGTGTTGGCAATTATTTTTGATTTTTTGCGATTTTTGCGCCCGACTCGACCAAGTCAAGATACGCACTTGGCCATTGTACACTTGCTCTGGCACTTGGCCACCAGTCTGCCACATCCACCTTCCTTGTGCATGCTAGCTAGAGAAGGGCGCGTGTCGTGATTTATCCGATAGCAGCAGCCAGAAAAAATATATGTATATTTAGTAGAATTGCATGGCCTAATTTATAATAAAAAATATGGTATTGGAAAAAATACTCAACTATTTTTAATTCAGAGCTTTAAAAAATGGCTATTGTCTTACTTAACTGCGTTTTGCTCCAAATTATTGTTCCTTACGTTATATTTAAAGCTCTTTATTTTCATATATATACTATTGTTATTTAACTCTGCTTTTCAATACTGCTTGTGTTCTTCATACTCACGTAATCTTCATGCCCATCGCTAGTTAAGAGCTGTCAATAACCAAACACAACTGTAGACTGCCTGCAGTCCTTGCCTGGTTACGCTTGTGCCTATTAGTCCAGAGAGACAGACACAGAGAGTGGGAGATGGAGAGAGAGAGAGAGAGAGAGGAGTGAATCGCAGTGTCCATTGGTCCATTTGGTGTGTCCACCCATTGATGTGTCAGCGCATATGTTCTTTTATGTCATCATTTCACAGCTAAGTGGCAGGTACCAGCGCAAGTTCGACTCCGGCAAGTGTAAATTCAAATACTAATTTGGGTGACTTCTGGTTTGCGTTGAAGCTAAAGCCAACGGCAGCGCTGATACAATTCAATTTGATTCGCCGAAAACAAATGCCAGCCAATTAGATTTTTCACGCTCTACCGCAAAACACAAAAAAAAAAAAAAAAAAACCAAAAAAAACAGGAAAAACAACAACAAAATCTGCGCCTAATTGACATTTTCAGCGCAAGAATTTATTGTGCCCAGAGCGTACATAAGTTATTCCCTTTGGAAATGAATACATACGATGCTGACATGGACACGAGAGTCACCGTCGAGTTATGGAAACTCGCCTGGACTGGACTGGAGTGGACCGCAGTGGATTCGTACTTGGACTGGGACGGGGACTGGCTGCTGCCTCATGCGTGGCCATAAAGTACACACACAACACACACCATACATGCACATACACTCACTCACTCACACACACACACACAGAGAAGTGAGACAGGTAAACAGATCCAGGCGCATAGCCACACATCTCACCCCCACGCAGCGCCAGAGGAGTCCATGACCAAGACGCAAGTGTTCCATTGTGTGTATATGGTTTTTGTTATTTTGTTTCTTTTTGTAGTAGGAGTTTGCACTCTCCAACAAAAGCAACAATAATAACAACAGTAACACAGCAAACAACAAAAACAAATGTCAACAGTAGTTTATTGTTGTTGTTAGTGTCATTTGACTCGGAGCTGCCTTTTGGGCCAACAGTCGACAGTTGCAGTTGGCAGCGCGCTAATTTGTAAGCCACGGCTGCATTTGGCCAACCTGATAACACCCATAGATTTCACAGAAAGCGCAAGACACACAGAGAGAGAGAGAGGGAGCTCGATTACTAGAGAGAGAGAGAGAGAGAGACAGAGAGAGATTCAGAGGGGGCTAGGCTTAAGATCTATGCTGTCTCCATATTGGTGGAGAAACTTTCAACTTGTTGGCCATTGGGCGTTTGACGTTTTCCGTTTGATGTTTTGCGCGATAGGCAGCAGGCAACGCGGCGCATCACGAAAGCCATCAAATGTCAGTCAACTAAATGTGGGAGAAAACTTTTTGCTACAGGGCCAACAGCAGCAGCAGCTGCAGCAACCAGGCTAACTTATATCCAAGCGCAACTCTAACGGAAGTTTCCCTATATTTATGTATATTTTGATTACTGAGAAAATCTTTCTGCACTAGTCCCTAAAACTGGTGACTTAACAGGGTGTGACTAAAGTTGCAGCAGAAAGTAACAATTGCAGTTAAAAATGTTATGGATTGTTCTATTTTGTATATAGAAATCTAAGTGAAGATATGTATTTTGAAGGTTGTTTACTATTTTTAGCTAACTAGCACGGAAATAGAAGCACACACACGAAATCTGAGAGATGGCAATGTATAAATTACCAACAAACACAACTACACACACACACACTCACACTTATACACACATACAGATGACAACGACTTAATTACGCCAAATTCAACGAGCAATTGCCATCAATAACATGGGCTATTAATATTCTTGCACCAGGCTTGTTTATTACCACTTAAAGCCACAATTAAACAGTGGGGCCCAAAAAGCAACAAACACCGACCACAACAACGACGACAGCTGACGATGGCCACATGCAACAAGAGCAACGAATGTGCGGTGCAAATAAAAATTTGTAGTAATAGCAAAACTATGTAAATAATCAAAAAAATGCCTCCTCGCTGCGTTGTGCGTGTGTGATTCATGTTGTGCAGTTGGCAACAGACCAGGAGTGGGCCAGGCCAACTGCCAGAGTCACATTAGACACAGACACAAACACACACACACACAGAGACGAGGCACGAGCCGACGCTTCGGCCAAGTGGGCAACACTTGCAAGCGCTGTTCTTGTTGTTGTTATCTGTGGAAAATCGCACTAGTTTTTCCAGCTTTTTAAGTTCGAGTTGTAATGCGAAACCAGCGCCGAGCGGAAATGCAAATGAAATTAATGTGCTGACAACTCGTGCGCATATGCGCGTTGACACCTTTGGCAAAAAGACAGAAAGTGACTGAGACAAAGAGCGAGAGAGCGAGAGAGAGAGAGCGAGAGATGGAGCGAAGGCGAGATAGAAAGATATACAGAGTGAGATGGCATAGTCGCAATCCCAGTGCCGATGCCCATGTCTGGCCCAGTGAAATTACAATTACACATGGCAGCGTGTGCCATATTTACCCCAGCTCCGTTGTGGACTGTGGGCCGTCGTCGTAGTTGTTGTTGTCGTCAGCGTTGTCGCTGATGTTGTTTCCGTCTGGTTAAACAGGTACTCTGACTACCAGCTACACTTGTTAACATGGCCATTCCACATCCCGAAAGTGGCCCTTCAACAGGACATATTGCTCAAAGGGAGCTCTTTCGGGCAAGGGTACCAAATCAAAACAGCAGGAATATTGGTAGGAAAAATAGAGACATTATGATATCAATCATGGATTTATTTACCAATTTACTTAAATATATGGATCAAGAAGGTCAATATCATCAGTACAATTATTAATAACTAAATCATATTTATAAATACTTGAAGAAAAAAATTAAGATTCTGATGGCTAACAACAATGGTTAATGTAATATTTTATAGACAAACATATCACGTAGACTCAGAATGAAAAATAAGCCAGCAATTACTTTTAAAAATAATAGCACAGATTCTATAACAATAAAACATGAGTTAGCACTTGTTTAACATAGATTGCAACAGCTACTAACTTCATTTTGATATACAGTCAACCAGACAACAACAACAGCAGGTAGCAGCTGCCGCAAGAGCAATAAGGAATCGCGAATAGCGCCTAAACGTCTGCAAATTAAACACTTTAAACGTAATAATCATTAAGTTATTTATCTTTATTAATAAGGAGAAAATTGGCACGCACAAGAAGTCAGCGGATGACAACAAAGTGCAAACGAAGGCAACGCTGAAGATGGGAATGATGACGATGGGAATGAAGACGATGGGAATGAGAACGGGATAAACAACAGATATGTTGTTGTTGGCAGCTGCTGATTCTGTTGTTCTTGTTGTTGTTGCTGTTGTTGTTGGGTTCTGCTGCTGCTGCTGCCTTTTGCCTAGAATGCGCACAATTTGAGCTACGTAAATGGACACATAAAATGTGCTCTGGCAAGTGACAAGGGTGACAAGGGGCAGAAGGAGGTGGCGGCAGCCATGGGTGGAATCTTCAGCGGTTGATGAGCAACGCGTTCAACTTGTTACTGTGCAATATGAAAGGCAGCAAGCGAAGCAACTTTTGCAACTCTGTTGATAAAATCAGCTCTACTCGTAGAGCATAAGACCCAGACTGGAGCTGTGACTGGACTGGCTGCTGTCTGGTGTGTCCGCTGGATTGTGGCCAGTGGTCAGTGGTGGCGGTGGCGACACTTGATACGCCAATAAATCAAGCAATCTGCTTAATTAATGTGCAACTTAGAACATTTAGATGCAATTTATTTTAATGCGATAATTTATTAATTTATTGACTTTTAATAAACAGAAAGCGAACTACGCTACCAGTTGGGCGTTGACCAGCTCACCACTTCTCATCTCCATGAGACATCATTAAAATGAGAGATTTATAGTAGACGTGAGATCAGTAAGTGAGAGAGAAGGAGGGACAGAGAGAGAGAGAGAGAGAGCGATCTCTTTTGAGATTTACGAGCTGACAGGCGTAGAAACTGTTAAAGTCAGTTGACAAAAGTGGCCGAGCCACTGTATCCAGCTCCTGCTTCTGCTTCTGCTCTCCCCCATGCTGCTTTCCGCCTCTTACCAACATGCCGATTCACCTGTCTGGCATACCTTGGCGTATCTTAATTGACGTGCACATTTCGCTATCGCGTAATGTGAAAATGCTGCTGGTTGTCGCTGCGAGCTCTGCTGTTGGTGTCGCTGCTGTTGTTGCACTCCTTGTCCAAGTTCCAAGCTGCACAACAACTTGCTGTTTCACATGATTTACGACTCATAGTTGCTCATCTTGTTCCTGCTGCTTCTGCTGGCGATTTTGCTGTTGTTTCTGCTGCTGCTGTTGCTGTTGCTGTTGCACTTAGCTAATTTCTTAACACAATTTTAATGTTATCATTAAGAGGCATTGCGTCAACAAGCTGCGCCAAGTTTATGGCCAGCTCGCACTATTTATGGGTGAAAGTCACTCTCCGTTTGGTAGTCGCCATTTGGGCGCATTGTTTGAAGTTTGATTTATGCCTTCAAAACACAAGCTGAGAACAAGAACCCCAGCAGGATATGACTATAACTGGGTACTACTTGGTGTTGATTGCTAGCTGTCAGCACTGCTTGTACTTTTTAACAAATGCAAGCTTATTTATTTATCTTTTTAGATATCTCGTTTTCAAAGGTTTTCCACAATGTGGATCTCAAAAATGCATGTGTATTGTGTAGGGTGTATTATTATATATATATTTCTTCTTTCTGTCATATCTCGAGTCAGCTCACACCTCATATCTTAGTAGAAGAATATAATTATTATAAAATTATTTGTATGGCAACCTGGAATTTTAGTACGCGTCTGCCAGACTTATCTTCCATCTCTCTCTCTCTACAATGTGGATGCACTTCGTTCACGGTCAGCATTCTATGAAGTTTAACACTCCTCTTTCTAAGACACTTGACCCCAAGATTTATTGAATGCCCTTTCGATACATCCCTTTCCAAATCCTTGAAATGGACCGATCACACGCTCTGATCATTCAGTCCCTGCACATTTGAGACTTCCCGCTTGAGACTGTCAATGAACGCACTAAAAACGATTATTTAACAACTGTTTAAACTGAAATTTATGTTTATTAATAATATCAACAGCGAACTTCGAGTGTCCGTCTGTCCGCCCGGTCCCAACGTAACGTTTAATCAATGCGTTCTGGCGAAAAATATACTAATTTATATACATACATATCTGTATATGTTTTTTGGGCTGCGCCTATGAATCAGCCAGGCGCGAATCAAGATCAAGTCGA